CCAGGCCTGTACCCCAAGGAACAGGCTGGAGACTGCCCTACCCACAGGCATTCTGTCTAGCCTTTCTTAAGACTGAAGCCTCACTTTGATCTTTATATCTTTTTATTAAACTGAAATCACCTATAGATGACAACATGTCTCCCTAACACTGGGCATCATTTCTGCCTGTACTTTATCTAGATTGGGCATCTTGGTTACTGATATAGAGATAAATTCAAATTGGGATCTTGCAATATTTAAGACTTGTCTTAGTTCTGTCTGCATCAACAGATGCCATATACTGTCGACTTAAACAATAAACATTTATGAACATTCAGGAGTTCTGGAGGCTAGAAATGTAAGGTCAGGGTCCCAGCATGGTTGGGTCTTGCTGAAAGCCCTCTTCCTAGTTTACAGACAGCCACCTTTTTGCTGTATCCTCACATGACAAAGTGAGAGCTTTGGTCTTTTCAGCCTCTAATAATGGAAACAATTTCATCATGGGGGCTCCATCCTCATCATGATCTCATCTAAATTAATTATCTCTCAACAGTCCATCATATCCAAATACCATAACATTGAAGATGAGGATTTCAGCATATGGATTTTGGACAGACACAAATATTCAGTCAATAGCAGGACTTGATTATTGCTACTTGTCATTCTTCACTTTTCACTTTTCTATTGTGGAGAGGCAGCCACCTGTGCTTTTTACTATTATTTAATTTTAATTCTGTACATAAGCCCATCTGTAACCATCTTCTGTCACTTCTGGGTTGCCTTTTCATTCTATTAATTATGTTATTCTAATTTTACCCAAGTCCTATGAAGAGGTAGCTTCTATCAATCTTGTGGGTCTCACCTCAGATATAAAGTCCTCAGAAGGATCTTCTTCAGGATTATGCCAATGAAACATTTTAAGCAGAGATAGAGTATGATTAGATTTACATTTTTAGACGATCATTCACGCTATTGTGTAGGTAAGAGATCAGTTAACATATTCTTCAAAAATTCTTAAAGACATCTTGGTTGATTCTGGTTTAAGATTGTGGCAACAAAGAAGAAAGTAGACAGAGCCTAGATATATTTAACAATAAAACCTGAGAGTTGATAGATTAAATGTGAGAGATCACAAGAGAGGGTGGTAGCATGTCTGCCTCTAAGATTTTTGGCGTAAGTATTTGGGTAGATGATGGTGCCATTCAAACCAAATTCCATGTTCAGCATTTTTCAATACTTCCCCAAATCATTCAGGATGACGTATAAATTTCTTAGTTCTTGGAAATGTTTTTAGATCTATTTCCTGTTAATATCTTAATCTCTACTCTTGTTGCTCAACCACCAAGTTTCTTTCATTGAAGTTACTATATTACAAATGACGCAGTGCATGTGTAATCTGGCCACTTAAAAAACCTTGGTTTTCCTGAAACTCATTATGCTGTTTCCCCTATGCCTTTTTTTTTTCATTGAATTTCAAGGCTCAGATCAGGTATTATCTCCTCTGGGATAAAGATGCTGGCCCTTTCAGTATGGCTTAGGTTTTTGAGGCACACTCTGTACAACTCTGCTATTCCACTCTATAATTGTAGGGTAATTACTATTTTATTGTTTTGCTTTTCAATTAGGCTTCAAGTTTCATAAAGTCAGGGAACAGATTTCATTTGTACTTGTATCATTAAGACAGCATACAATAGGCGTTCACTATAACATTTAATTGAATAAATGACTACGTGGATAGATGAAAAATACTTCTTGCTCAGAAAGATAAAGCAAGATTTCGTAGAATAATTGCATGGCTTTGAATTAGATTCTTCACTCTTGAGTAAGGACAGAATTGAGACAGGTATTGATATTGGCAAAGATCAAGCAACAAGTACATAAGCCCTGAGTTCCTGAGTGAATAAAGGGTGAATGAGAAGGCAGGAATTGCTGCTGGACAGAAGAGTTTGAGTAATAGCCAAGAAGCAATATGGTATAGAATCTGTTTGGCTAATTGTGAGAGATCCATTTTGGTTGAAGCTTAGGCTGACTGACGGGGATAGTAGAAACACAAAGGTCCTCAAGTGGCAGGCTCAGCATTTTGGTTTTGTTAAATAAAAGAATAATGGCACTACCAAAATTGCAATTTTTTATAAGATTTAATAAGATCCTGAGTGATGAGATTTGATGATAATGGAATACTAGAACAATCATAAAATCAAATGTTTATAGAGACAAGCAGGTTGGTGGATTCTCACTTGGCACCCTCTGGAAGAAAACACTTAATGTCTTCTTTGTTCCTAAAAGAATATCTTACTTTATAAGTTAACTATTGATCTAATATGAAGCATGTGGAAGGGGAGGAGAAAGGGAAGTGCATAATCATTGGTCAGAAGGAAGTGTTAGACTTCAGCTAGTTATAAAATGGACCTACCATGCTTATGTTTATATGATCACTAGCATTTTAAATTCTGCCCAGAGCACTGGAAAACAGAATCATTGTACTTACCATAACACACTGTATCCAGGAGGTCTCTTAAATAATTCAAATAGTCTTGTATAATTAGAATATTTAATTCACCTGGTGTCTTGATTGTTAAAATATTAGATTACTTGTGTCCTTGTATTTCAGATCACATGATCTGGTGCTTTGAAGTCATCACTGGAAATTTAGCTCTAATTGAACTGGTGGTATCCAGGGAGATGTTCTTGGGTAAATCCATTTCATTTTTGCTTTCTTCACAGGGTTTGATTTTGTTCTTCTGTGTCATTGGAAATGACAGGTTGCCTTGCCTCCATTTCTTTCCAAACTCATGTCCTAAGATTTGAAACATATATTTTTTAAAGTTACAAGGAGGTTATTCAAGCTTCTATTTATGGGGCCCTAAACAACGGAATAGAAAGTTCAAACTGGTCTCAAATTCTTTCTGGGCTCCAAGGTCTCTAGCCCATTATAGGCACCCACTAATGATACTCCTTTGCCTTTATTTGGCATGCAAAGTCCTCCTTGTTGGAGAAAACAAGAAGAATGGTAGTAGTATTTTGTAATTATTCAAGAATTTAATTCTGTATCTCACTTAAAAAACAAATCAAAGCAAAACAAAACTAAACAGTATTCAATTAGTTTTGCTCTCTACTGAGACTGGTGATTCTCCTTTGTAAATGGATTAGAATATTGCTGACTTCAAGAACTTAGCCTAGTAAGTATTTTATAATCAATAGTTCCTAATAATGTGTTATATTCTTAAATAAATAAAATTCTAAAGAAATATTTATGAACTGATATTTCCCTTTATCCACTCATATCTTGCTGTTATTAAGATTATTTGTCACCAGATACTGACTATAAAAATATCAGTGCTTAAAAGGCTTTGCTAATTATAATAGTGTATTATTTAAAGTCTATTCTAGCTTCCTATGTAGACAGCCTAGTTAAGCATGACTATGTCTGAGGCTTTCTCTATAGATTAGGCAAAGACATTAATGCTAAAATAAACTACAATGAAGAATGTTTTTTTTTCTTTTTAATTTATAGTAGGCAGAGCTTGAAGAGATGAGCTAAAATAAGGGTAAACAATTTCAAGATATTTAGATTGGAATTGTTGGACAATTGAATAGAGAGAAAAAGTTGGAATGCTATACCTTTCTCTTTCCACCCCCTAGTCAGATCCCAAGGAAGTTATATAGTGTGCGTGTGGATTTAAAGGCAGTGATGAATGAGAAGGTATCCTGTCAAGCTAGTTGGTAGAACCAGATTAAGGTCAGAAAGGCTGGTACTAACTCAGCAGAACTGAGTGGTGATGGGAAAGCTGTAAAGGCCAGGAAGCATTTATCCTAATACATGTGGCCATTGGTTCTGAAATAAAATCAAGAGATTCTGTAAAACTTACTTGTTACTAAACATTTTCTTAGAAACTAACCATGTCTAGAGACTCGTAACAGCCATCTAAGCTCATAAATTATTATATATGTCATATAAGCCATTGATTAACACAGGAAAAAGATAAGGCAAGTGTTTAGAAAAATGCACAGCCATTACATGGAGATATATATTTTTCCAAAACCAGTGCTTATCTTATTTAAGATAGTTTGGAACTATCGACAAGCTACTTTAATGAGATTACTTTTTGAAGGAAACAAGTTCAGTAAATCGCTTTGTTTTTCTTCAGTTCCTTTCATCCTCCATGTAAAATTTTAACCACGATGGAAGGAGAGAATCTCTGGTCCTAAAAATTCAACAAATTTCTTATCCACAGATACAGGTAAATGGAAACTATGACTCTTCAATAACAACATTAGTTATTGTGGTTTGTTTTTAATTTGTTACAGACTCAGATAAAAAGACGTTGCAAAGTATTTCTGTGCTTGTGCATTTGCTTCAAGGACATGGAGAAGCAAATCTTAAAGCAATATGATCTGATCAAGAAACAGCTGGAAATGGCAGCAACCTGATATGGAGCAATCAAGAATTGAAGGTTTATTTTGAATGAGAGGTGTTGTCCAACTGTGAGACTGAGCGATTGCAGCTGCGAATAAGTGCTAACACAATCAATAGTGACTCCAGGTATGAAGTTATTGAGAACCTGTCTCATTTCATGTCTCTTTCTGCTGCTACATTCACATTGCATCCGTAGATTGCAATACTGTCTGTAGAGGAAGAAAAAAAGTTCTTCAATTTATCCTTATTTTTAATAACAGCTTCTGAGCTGTCATGATTTGAAATTACAATGAAAAAATGGCTTTTTTTAGAAAAAAGAAACAATATTATTTCAAAGCCAAATTGTATATTTGACAGATAAGAATGCCTCATTATTAAATGGTCTTTAATATACATCACCTCTACAATCTGCCATCAATTTTTATATTAGTTGTTCTCTATTTTCTGTACTTGCATAGCTATGGGCAAAGTCAGTTCGTTCTTGCTGGTCCCTACTACTGTTATTATTTTATTGATATAGACCATAGAAGCTGCTCAATAAATATTGTTGAATGATCTACAATTCCAACAGTTTATATTTGGATACTGCTTTAGGAGTTTGCAAAGCACTTTAACATAACTTATTTAATTAAACTTCAAAGCAACACAAATATATTATCGAAAATGTGTTTTTATGCCTCATTATTTTATAACCATACTTCATGTATTGCACACACCTATCACAGACACTTAAAGACAGACACATGGCTATATAAGCAATATTCCCCAAACTTATGCTTTGTTTAGGATTTCCTTATGAATGTAATTTTTTAAAAGTAAAAACCTTCCTCCTTTTTATGTTACAAAAAAGACTATTTGATGATTCAAAAATCTTTCTTTTTTTCCTTTTCTTTTTCAGTTCTTATAACTCTGTAACGACACTGATGGGGTCACTTACCACACAGAATACAAACATAAATAAGATGAATTTTCGAACTCAGCGAGATCAAAATTCATTTGTTTGCTTCACCTACTCCTTCCCAACTAGCATTCTCACTAGACAATTTCAGTTGGAAAAAAAGGCACTTATCTTAGAACCTTAGGAGGTAAGCTGGAGCTGGGCAGCTTTTACAGTTTTTGGAACGGTTGAGACTATGCTTAGATATAAAGCACTCTTTTTCATGTAGTTACCGTTATAATGCAAAGTGAAGAAGCAAATCATTCAGAGCACAATCAGTGAGTCCGGGGTATTGAAACATTCCTCTTAGCAATATCGAGTTACTTTATTTGTTCATGAAGTACTTGAAAGTTGAGAAAGAACAGCAGGCCTTCAAGAGAGAGCAGAGAAAGAGTTGGCTCCCAATGCTTTCATTACCAAAAGAGGGTGTTAAAATGCATAGAAATGTT